AGCGGTTAGATTTGTTTTACGGGGTAGGGTTGCTAGCCCTATGCCCAACCTTCCCTGTATACCCGGGCTTAGGACAGGCTAGTAACTAGTAAACTAGTTAACCAGGCGAGGTTAAAACAACATTACAGGTCAGAAATATTATTATGGATCCCCTGGGGGCCAAGAGAAACAGAGGGCTTCAGTAACACATCTCCATTCCACTCTCTTACCTGCAGTCTTCTCAACCTAGCTCCACCAACACCCACAAGCTTCCATTGCTTCCTCACACCATCTCCTCCACGTAGCCCTCGCCTCGGACGCCCAACTCGTCGTTTCCCATTTGCATTCCAGCCGACCACCTGACCTGGTGCGTGATGTTCACTATCGGTCTTCTCAGTGTATGTCCAGTCCATACATCTCCACTTCCTTCTGCATGTTTGTTGAGCGATGCGTTCTTCGTTGGTTCGTTACCAGCCAGCCAGCCAGCCAGCCAGCCAGCCAGCCAGCCAGCCAGCCAGCCAGCCAGCCAGCCAGCCAGCCAGCCAGCCAGCCAGCCAGCCAGCCAGCCAGCCAGCCAGCCAGCCAGCCAGCCAGCCAGCCAGCCAGCCAGCCAGCCAGCCAGCCAGCCAGCCAGCCAGCCAGCCAGCCAGCCAGCCAGCCAGCCAGCCAGCCAGCCAGCCAGCCAGCCAGCCAGCCAGCCAGCCAGCCAGCCAGCCAGCCAGCCAGCCAGCCAGCCAGCCAGCCAGCCAGCCAGAGTGTGTTCCTTGTTGCTTATTCTTATTCTTAATGGCCATCCATCTGATCTTCGGCGTCACTTTCGAGTGAGCGTAGGCAGCAGCTGTTCATGATTTATGTCCACAGTTGTTTGTTGGAAATGCTTTTCGAAACGCGCCGTCAAGTTCCTGAACCATCACATGGAAGCACTGACTTGACTCACATTAGTGTTGGAAATCCGGATCTTGTTCACACTTTACGCTGAGTGCAGTGCAGTGCAGTGCACAACAGCTCCATACTGACTTCAGATAAATGAAGGCCTGTCCTGCTGTCTTTCCAATCCTGGATCTGACATCCTCATTTGTGCCGCCACCACCGCCTGTAGTTGAAACGATGCTGCCTTGCCTAGATAGGTGAAGGGGACTACTTCCTTCAGATTTCTCCCACCGACGGCAGTGGCGTCGCTCTTCTTCTTCTTGTCCTTGTTGTCGTTGTTTGGGCATCTCCATCACCTCTGGTAACTCTAATCGAATCAAGAGGTTGAATATGGTTTTACAAGCAATTTGACTGAAGTCGAACAAAGCGAGTGGTCAATGCCTTTGAATACATTGAAGAACAAAATCAAAGTACACGCAACATTGACTGTTTTACATTTGATCGAGTGATGAGATGAAGATGGCTATGGTCTGTTTCACTGTTACACTACAACCTACTTCGTGGTTTCGAAGATACTTGTAGTCTGCTGTTTGTCTGAAGAAAGTAAGAATTAATAATTAATTTTTTTTGAACTGGACGGAAGACTTTTATTTGCGAGATGACGACGGTCTATCAATAAGATTAGCTAATGAAAGGGTATTGGGAAAATTTTATAAAACCATGAAATGGAGTCCTTAAAACTCAAATCGACACGAGGATTCATTTGAGATGACAAGTGCTGTGCTTCGACTAATGTCTAAAAAAGATATAATGCAAGTGCTTAATGGATTGAAGTTTTCCCCTTTCTGTTATGTGTTTATATACAAAGTTGTCTGTGAATGATGGAGGATATTTTGTGCTGTGGATGTAAAACGATAGGCGGAATTTATGTGATTATTTCGCTCTACTGGACTTGAAATCTCCCATTAAGCTTATGAGAAGTGAAACTACGTTTCTCTTCCTTTTCATTACTCAGAATGGTTATGCAACAAAATTATGTCGTTGCCTAATTCATACAATTCATTTGGAGCTGAGAATACTGAAATACTGCTAGCAGAATGTCAGCTATAACGAGCCATCGTAAGATAAGTCCAAATACATGATGGCTAATCATGGCCAGTGTTTTCATTATGTGCTGAAATGAAACCAGTACCATTGGTGTAATAAAACCTTATACTAGGAGGAAACAGTCAACCATTACTACCAGGTTTCAACTGGTTATCCAACTAATGTCAGTCTATGACGAATACTACCTGTGCATTGAGAATACTACCTGAAAATCTCACATTCGTTTTGCCACTTCTCTACAGCTGCAACTAGTCAAGAGTATGGTGTACGATGACAAAGCTACACTGGTGTTAGAGCGAACTAACTCTATGCATTGGGAAATATACATACAAAGCAGCTGCTGGCTTTCCAATGATCCGCCAAGTCTTTTCATTACGTGATCAACACCAACTTGAAATCAATCAATCTTCCCAAATCCCCAAAGTTGAATGGTTTCCAATTTTCCTTAATGATATACATCGAGATGAGACTTACCACAGCTCTCATGAGACTTTGTAACCGATGATGCCAATGAGTCAGAAGTAAAGACAACTATTATATGATGGTGTTGGATGAAAATCACACTATATTATCATTCGATAGAAGTGGGAAAATGTGAACCGCTAGATTCTGACTGAGTGTCTGAGTGGCGAAAAGCTCGCCAAGATACCTGAGTGAAATGAACTGAATCGCTGGTGTGGTTATGTTTGTGCACTGATGAGGAGTTCCATAAAAACACAAAAAAGGTGTCCAATGATCTCATGTTTTCAATGGTTCTCCAAAAGAGGTGATTTCATGGTGAATACCAACTTGAAATCCACAAATCATTACAAACTTCCAAATTGGAAATGATTACACTGCAATTTTTCTTCTTCCTGCTTCCACGAAATTCAATTTACATTTGGAGAAATGCAAACACGCTATTTAGTTGCTGATCACAATGTTGATTACTCTGCATTTCATGTTGTAATCTTTCCGATCATGTAAAAATGAGTAGTCCACCTTGATGTGTATTCAGCTTAGCTTCAGAAGTCTTTACCTGTTTGCATTTTCCAGGTCGTCGACATTGCGTTTAATCACTGCGAACAGGTTTCTGCTCTCATTTCGAACCTAATGACTCAAATCATTGCTTGTTATCACTCAAGCTGCTATACTAAAGAATGTGAACGATGAAAAGATGAGGCTGTAAGTTACGATCTTACCACATGTTAGTTTACATTTATCGTCAGACTGTCATGTGACGCTATACACGTTTGCCAAAATTACTGGCAAGCATTATCCTCACTGCAGTGTTGAATTTTCCACTATGTATTAAGGTTAAAGACCTAAGGAAAGTGTAGATATGAATCATTTAGAAAAATTTCAGGATGAAAATTTAAGCAAAATCTTGAAACTTGTTTATAAGATAACATTCATTAGCTGCTGGATGTGCTTCCATTGCTTAACGCTTAGCCAGCCTTGCTAAACTGGGTGTGCTCCAGTACCTACTTCATCAATCAGCAGCTTATCTAACACGTTAGTTCTAGTAGTGAAGCACAGATCAAGAAAACTGAGTTGTTTAGAAATAACACATAAAACGGTAATATATTTAAACAAGCTAAAGTTGAAGGTGAGTCAAAAATGTGCACTCATCTTATCTGGCTTACATGGGTCAGCTGGAAATTCTGAGAATTTGCGCTTTAATAAGCACAAAGAGAGGGTAAAATGGTGTCGAAACCTGCTTTGATGCGTACTCGTTAAAAAATCTGAAACACCCTAAGCATTCGGAGGTAAGCTAGATGTTTATTTAGTTAATATTTAGTTAATTACAGGTAATCTAATTACCTTGGTGGTAATTGTATTTTGGTGCTCAGGAAGGTGCATTACACATCCGTCAATGTTTCGGCTTGACTGAAATTTCATAAAATA